GAAAGAGTGATGGTTTCAGTTTCCAGAAGTCAATTCCATTTCCCCATTGCTTGAGCTGTTAGGCAATGGCATTTATGAAGAGCCTGAGTGGTATTCAGCAATCCAGTGAGTGAGTGTTAGAAAAACTGGGAACCCTGACTTACCCCACTTGCAGTAGTAGTAGAGGAAACTGTAGTGTAGATGGATCTGAGAAAACCTAAAGCAACATACTGTGGTAACATCACTTGAGAGCTGCAAAGTGTGCAACAGCCTTCTAGATGCTACTGCAAGGAGTTTCCCTGGGGTAGTTATGAATGACAGTTGTTTTGATACAGATCACACCTAGTTAATCCATTTTCTGTACTGTCATCTAAGAAATTTAATTTCTATGGGGAGAACAAGAAATAGAAGAGGGACTGGTGAGGGGTGTGGAAAGATTTGTTGGTACCACAAACACATCTTGCTGTTGTGGAAATTAAAAACTAGTTTTGAATGGATTTGTTTGTTTTTGTTTTGGTAGAGGAAAAAGCCTCTTCAGCCTATATAAAAGGAAATAATTGAGAACAAAGATAAGGCTTTTGTGAGAACACCCTGTGCATGTCACTTTCGTAACAACTGGTAGCTAGTGATAAAAGAAAATAGTCCTTACTTCAGTGCATGTGAATCAAGTACAAATGCGTCTTATCAAGAAAGTTTACATAGTTTAATGCAGTAGAGATCTCCAGACTTGTTCTGCCTTTTCATCAAATAAAGTGGGAGATAAATTCCTTCACTTCTCCAATGGCCATTGTGTCAAGTCAGGTACAATAATAGTTCCTTACTTTGTCCTGATTCCCAAAACAGTATGGAGCAATAATCGAGGGTAGAAGGACGGGCACTGCCGCCTACCACAAGACTTCATCTATCTAGTTTTGTGCATCATGTGTATTTGTTTTTGTCTTTTTTTCAGGAATCCAGCTCTACAGAGAACCGTTATATCCAGATGAGTGAGATGTCTGTGGAGAGCCTGCTAAATTCTGCATCCTCGAGTCTGAAAGAAGTGGAGATACCGCGAGAGAAAATTTCACCAGGCACCTTGCAGCTGATAAAATGTGGCCACTATAGGAGCATCTACAGAGCACAACTGGAAACTGGGAGCCCTGGGAAGACTAAGACTGTAGTACTGAAAGCCTTACAAGGTAAGGCACATAGCCAGGATCCCTTTTAGTACACGTCTGTCAAAGACATGATACTAGGCAGAACTTCGCGGTCATTACTGGGCAAGAACAAGCTGTGTTCAGTATGATGTTAGCTAGTCAGAGTGGTGTTTTGGTAGGAGCATCTTGGCAGGAGTAAAGAAAGTTGCTGTTCATGTTGATTTTAAAAGATACTTGGTGTTTTCCTGTCTCCATTCGAGTTTTTTTGTTTGTTGTTTGGTTTTGGTTTGAGTGGGGTTTGTTGTTGTTGTTGTTCTTTCAGACCCGGATAGTCTCCAGGAAGTAAAGGATTTCCTGGGAACGATTAAATTCCATCAAAATCTTGGCCGTCATGAGAATCTGGTTGAAATGGTTGGATGCTGTGTAGACCAGCTCCCACTTTATATGATCATGGAAGATGCGCCTCTTGGTGACCTGTTGACATTTCTGTGGACATGTCGGAAGGTGAGTCAAAAGAAGGGATGATGGAATATCATCTTAAATTTCTTAGGTACATGTCTATTCATAAATCATTGTCCATTACTCATAGATGATTGTTTTAATCTCTCCATGCATCTATTTATATCAGTCTAAACTATTTCGATTCCCCTAAGAAGTTCTACACAAGTCTAAGCTGGGATAGAATTGGTGGACATCCTGATTAATATTATAGAGTTTGGAGAGGTTGACCTACGTCTATAAAACAAAGTCTTATTTTGCAAACCATTGGAGTGAGAGTTGATACAGCTACCTGATTTTTTAAAAAGTTTCAAATAATGACCCACTCTGAATGCTTTTAAGAAAACAGAGCAGTTACGATACCGGGGACGTAACTGAATGGCAACTAATTAATTAAATGACAGGAAACAGAGCTTAAAAGTGAAAGGTTGCTACTTGTACCCATGGTACGTGGAGGTCACCCATGACCTAGGTTTGTTGCATGTATCAATAACCCAGAAAAGGGAATGACAGTGAGGTGATGAAGATTTCCAATTATACGAGCCAGTACAGGCAAGGGCTGACCTTGAGGAATTGAAGAATGATCCTCCAAGATTGAGAGACTGGACAATAAAAAGAACAGATGAAATTCAGCATAGTTAAAAATGTAGTGATGGTCTCAAGTCTGCCCCTTGCTGATGAGGAGTGAAATCATAGGACTGATCATATGAGTGGCTGAGGGAACTGGGGTTGTTTAGCCTGAAGGAGGATGAGGGGAGACCTGATCACCCTCTACAGCTCCCTGAAAGGAGATTGTAGTGAGGTGGGTGCTGTTTTATTTTCCCAAGTAACAAGTGATAGGACAAGAGGAAACAGCCTCAAGTTGCACCAAGGGAGGTTTAGATTAGATATTAGGAAGAATTTCTTCACTGAAAGGGTTATCAAGCACTGGAACTGGCTGCCCAGGGAAGTGGTGGAGTCACCATCCCTGGGGATATTTAAAAGATGTGTAGACATGGTGCTCAGGGACATGGTTTAGTGGCGACCTTGGCAGTGTTAGCTTAAGGGTTAGCTTAAGGGTTGGACTTGATGATCTTAAAGGTCTTTTCCAACCTAAATGAATCTATGACTATATGAAAATATACAGTCCAATGAAAATATTAACTCAAGCCAAAAAAGAAATCAAATGTTAGGCATTATTAAGATAAGGCATAGAAACAAAACTCTGTCATGCCAGTGTATAAATCCATCAATCTCCTCTATCTGGAATGCTAAATACAGAGAGACTGCTTTCTGTCTTGATCAGCAGAAGCATGAGGTGGTAGCAAATAAAGCTAGTAGGTGCCATGTTCAAAGCAAACAAACAGAGGTGCTTCTTCATGGGAGCTGGCTAATGGAATTCCTTGCCACTGACTGCTGTGGATATTGCAACTTTTACGTTGGTTCAAGACAAGAGTGAATACATTCATGGAAGACAAAATTTCAGAGGTTACTGAACATGCTGAAACCATAATCACCTCATTGTGTGCTTACCTTATTCTCTTTCTCTCATCTAGATATCCACCTAGGGTTACTGTTACAGGCAGGGTAGTAAGAGAGATGGACTGCTGGTCTCAAACCAGATAACCATTTGTATGGTATAAATGTGCTTTTCTACTCATCATTCTAATTTATCTTTCATTCATCTCTATGAATTGTTATTCTCCACTGTCATTCTGCCCATTTCTGTGTAACCTATTAATCTCTTGTCCACCCTTCAGTTTACCCACCAGTTGTCTCTAGTGTATTTGTCTTACTCAGCACACCATCCATCCATCCATCCATCCATCCATCCATCCATCCATCCATCCATCCATCCATCCATCCATCCATCCCCCCACCCACCCACCCATCCATCCATCCATCAGCATCACCCATCCATATACCCTTACATTTCAGTCAATTTGTGACCAATTGTGAAATTAACGGGGGAAACATAAGATTAGCAAGTATTCGTTTTATTAGATTAGAAGGAGACATTCCCTGGTACGCTACAACTATGACGTTTGTTTGATCCAAGGTCTGGTCTTTTGTCCCTAGGATGTAATGACAATGGATGGTATCCCCTATGACCTCACTGAGAGGCAAGTGTATGAAGTTGGACAGCAAGTTGCAGCAGCTCTGGTAAGTCTGCCCACATTCTCTGCATTTTTATTTTATTGCTTGTTTGTAACACAAGTCTGCATGGTGGCCTATGTCTCCTTGGCCTAAGCACTGACAATGTGCTTTGTAAACTGAGCCAAATATGCTTGCATTGTTTTGGTGAGCATACACCTCTATTCTGCAGCATGGATGATAGGCACAAACTAAGTTTCTATCAATTAAAATTCCTTTTAAAATTAACATGGTCTCTTTCTTTTCCAACTTTCCAGGCTTACCTTGAACAGAAGAAGTTGTTCCATGGCGACATTGCTGCCAGGAATGTCCTCCTTCAGCGCAACTTCACTGCTAAACTCTGTGGTTTGGGTCTGGCCTATGAAACTCACACATATGGTACCAACTCAGTCACACAGACTGTGCCAGTCAAGTGGCAGGCACCAGAGCGCCTCCTGAAGAAACCCCCCAGCATCAAGGCAGACATGTATGATTTAATTTTTGGCCTAGAAGTTCATCTGTCTGTTGTGCCTGGCTCTTTCGCTCCTTTATGTATTATTTCATGTTCTGAACATTAAGGCATATCTAGTCTCAGCACAGTGCTCCAGTTTATGTCTCATACCTTCTCTTCTCATTTCTCCAGGCCATGCATAGTTGTTTGTATGTATTTAAGCTAACTAGAATGGAAACTTAACATGGCTTTTTTTTTTCTTTTCTTGCAGATGGTCTTTTGGAATTCTACTGTATGAAATGATTACATTAGGTAAGAAGATTTAATGATAATAAAAATGTATGTAAAGAAACAGAAAATTAACAAGACCTTACATTTCAGAATGAAAAATTGGGCCATTTAAATAAGCATCCTGGTTTTTCCAACTTGCAAAGTTTCGACAATTCATTTTAGACTTCCTGTCAGTGTGAATTGTGGTAGGAAAAAAATGGATTTTGGTAGGGAAGGCAGGCAGTCTTATAGAGAAGTTGCTATCTGCAACCATTACCTTACAGTTTTTCTAGTGTTGGATTCCTTTTGCCTTTCCAGGTGCTCCACCATATCCTGAGGTGCCACCTTCTGACATCTTATTGTACCTGCAGAGACAGAACATTATGAAGCAGCCCTCAAGCTGCCAGCCAGCCATGTAAGCCATCTGCTTTATGGACATTTGAACTTGAGATCTGCAGAGCTAAATGAAAATCAGACATACAAAACCAGATTGTACAGAAGAGCTCTAAGTCTAGACTGTACAAAACAGTAACCTCTTAGCTGAGGAGACTTGTTCTCATATGTCTGCCACATTTCCTTACTGGATTTTGTTGCATGCAACCTTGAATGCCAAAACCTCTCTTTTCTGCTTTTGAAAGTTGTTCTTGTTTCTGTTTCCTTGTCTGCCCTTGCACTTTGTTGCTGCATTGCTTCCCTGCAAGGTGAAGGACTGTTCTGGGGTAATCCTTCTCTTCTAAGTTGTGGGATTCTCCCCGAAATGAACAAAGCATCCATGGGGAATATCTAAGGTATTGTATTTCCTTTTGTGAAGACATGGGTTTTTTTTAATATTCAGAGTTTTTTCCATCCATAAGGAATCCCAGTTGCTGTTTCAAAAGGGAATACCAAACAATCTTTTTTCCCTTTTCCCCTGCAGTTGACATCCTGGCAAACAACTGCACACCTTTGTCCCCACACATTATTATATGATTGTAAACATCAAAGGGTCAATTAAAGAACATTATATGAAGCAAAGAAAGAGGAGGTCTCTAGACATTTCAAATATTAAATTACTTGACTGTAGTAAAACTTTATGTTGCTGCTTCTCATTCCCAGCACCTCCCTACTTCTTCATCTTACAGGTACAGCATCATGAAGTCCTGCTGGCAGTGGAATGCAATGAACCGACCTTCTCCATCAGGCCTGATCCGGTCCCTACAAGCAGCTATGAAGAGCAGCAATGACCGTGCAGTGCTGCAGGTGCCTGAGCCAGTGGTGCCTGAGCTCTATGCTAACGTTGCTGGTGTTGATGTACAGAGTCTGGTGACTGAAGACACGATACTTATGTGTCGGTAAAGAAGAAGCCTCTTGAGTTTGCCCTTTCTAGACACTTTGCAAGCCCAGGATGAGGTGTGTATGCTGGGAAGGATCCCTTTGGTTTTTAAACACGTTACATATATCTTGAAGTTGTGAATATTTTTCTTTAATTTCAAAATAAGCAAAATATGTCTGTGAAACAAATTTTCTATCTGCCTTCTACTGTTTGTGGTTTCTGAGTTGACAGCACCTTAATGTTTAGTTCTCTAATTATTTTGGCACCTTGAGCAATAAAGGTTCTTGCAAAAAAATAAGCAATACACATTAAAGGAATATTTTTACTGTTCTGTGTGAAGAGTGGATTCAGTGTTCACTCAGTATCTCTCTAACCAGCATGACCCTTGTATGTGTTCGAAGTTGAAGGGCATAACGACCCACAGAAGGCTAACTGCAGTCAGTTGGATTCACTAGGTTTCAGTCTTTCATGTAGCTGAATCCCTGATAATTTCAGAACAAGTTGCAGGCCTGCAGCGAATCCTAAAAGGCCAAAATCATGTGTGTTAGCCATATAGAATGCAAAACTGAAAAAAGAAACAAAAAAAGCTAAATGACGGCTCTTTTAAAGGGAAATATTTACCCTAAAGGAAGTCTTCAGCCATCACTTTAGATATCAAACATATAGCTGCAAAAAGGAGCTTATATTCCATTTTCAGTCAATGTTTTGGTCTTCTTCCAAGGACAATGTTAAGAACTTGTCTCTTTTAAATTCAAAATAACATGAATGGAATAGTTGTTTTTCCTATATCAGGTAGGCTTTATAAGAAACTAGGTTTCGATCCAGAAATAAAAATAATGTTAGTTCACAGAGCACACACATTGCCACTGTATACCTGAACACTGCGCACTCCATGAGAGAGTGCTTAGTTAGCTTTCTGACTTTAATGTCCTTAACCACTTGTTGGTGTAAATCTGTCTTGAAGAATTGAAACACCTTCTTTTCAAAATGCAAAAACAGTTGCGTATAGTAACAGCCCTCACTTGAAAACAGGTTCAAAGCTCCCTGGTAAATTGAAGCCAAATTCACAGGTACCAGTCAGCTGATCCTTTTTGGTGAATAAACCATTCATTAAAAAGACATTTGCTTGGTTCATACCTCCCACCCAAGAATGGGATATTCTCAAAGGTCTTGCCAGTGAAAGGTGGGTGTGTTTCAGATAATACAATCTCAGAACCGTGAAAAGCAACCAAAGTGCTGCTGCAGACCTGATGACAAAAGCACAGTGGCTCATAGGGAGCTTTGTTAAACAGAGAGGTAAATGTGACAAGTGCATCACTGTTCTCAAAGCTCCCTATCTTGTTACATCATGGAAAGCAACGTTCTGGTTTACATGAATCCTCGTATTTTGTTTCTGTTATCAAAGCTCTGATCAAGAGAATCCATGGGAATTCAGTATACTGAGCACCTCACAGCCTCTAACAAAAGATCTGCTTTAGTTTCATCTGAGAGCAAATATGTGCCAAGTCCCTGCTTGTGAATTTGCCCACAGAAAGACATTTTCCTGCTATATGATAAGGTCTTTGGTTAATTTCCTTTCAATAAAATGGCTTGATTCTCAATGCGAGCATCCTTATTCTGGTTTGACTGCCTTTTCCCCAGGTTACCTTACATAGGTTTGAAAGTGACTGAATCTAAATTATATTAAGTTTTATAGTGGCATAAAAGGAATTATACATGTGGTTACCTTAGTGTGTTGGTTTTAGTCAGGACAGCATTAATTTTCTTCACAGTAGCTGGTATGAGGCTCTGTTTTGGGTTTGCCCTGAGAAGAGCACTGATAAGGTGTTTGTTAGCAGGTGCTGGGGAGTGCTTGCACCAAATTCAGGGTCTTTCCCAGCTTCTGATACTGTGTTCCCAACTGTCTTGCTACAAGCAATGGGGGGGGGATGACACAGTTCAGACAGCTGACCCAGACTGACCAAAGGATCACTTACTTCCGTTGCGCATCATGCTCAGTACGTAAGTGGGGAGTGGGCCAGGGGGCCATAGCTCCTTTGCTTGCTCACTTGTTAGTTCACTTGTTTATTAGCTTGATAGCTTGCTCATTTGTTAGTGAGTTGGTGTGTTGGTTGGCTTTCTTGGTTGTGCTGTCACTCATGGGGCTCGCATGGACTCTGCTGCCATCACTCTTGGGCTCTGACTCTCAGGCTCTCGCTACTCAGGACCTGGCTGTGTATTGGTCGGCAGGTGGGGAGCAATTTTATAATTTGTTTTATTTTCTATCATTTTAATTACTTAGTAGTAGTAGTATTGTTAGTATCACTACAATATTAATTTATATTTGATTATTAAATTGTTCTTATCTCAATCCATGAGCTTCCTTGTCTTTTCCTCTGAGTCCACTGGAGGAGGGGGAAGGTGAGCGAGCAGCTGCGTGGTACTTGATTGCCAACCGAGGTTAAACCATGACACCTAGTTTAACTACACTTCATGCTAAATAAAGTAGTCTACATAGAAATCTTTTCCACATGGCAGTCGGTGTTCATGCATGGGTCTAAATCTTTAGGATCAGTATAGACTCATGCATGGATTCCTCCTTAGGGAAACCACTGAAGGCTTGGTGAAAATTTTTCAATTGTTTTGTGGAGAAGTGTGGATTTTCAGTGAGAGATTTTATTTTATTTGTTTAATTGGAATAACTTGTTCCCATGAAAAATGTTGACTTTTAATTATTATGTTGAAATTTACTCCAAGATGGCAGGGCCATCTGCATAGTTCAGTCGGTCACTGCTGACTTTGTGTGAAGCAAAGGAGCTACAAGTCCTGCAGAACTCAGGGGATGGACTTAGCACCTGGACTTTGCCTCTCTATTTGCAACATTTCTGACCATTTGCCATCACAGAAAGCATGCGTTTACTGTTTCCTTGAAACCAGCCTACTACTTTCTGCAAGGTGACACCCAAGGCTTGGGGTGTAACTCTGTTCTGGAATGTGGGAGATTTCCTCTATCTGGAACAAAAGCAGAGAACCAAGACAGCTTGGTTCTTCTCCAAGACATTGCTGTCTCCTGTATTTTTGAAGTCATGACAGTGAGACCCTGTGCCTGAGCAGATTAGGTCTGCTGAGAGGCAGTATTAGGGTCAACAAGGGCTGTCTTGCCTCACTCTACTGCTCGCTTGAGAGTGAATTTGCCTGGCCTTGCTTCTGACAGGACAAGGAAGGAGCAGGTTGGTAAATCGTATGCATCTGAGTCTTTATTTGACCAGCATTCAATGTACCTGCTTATACAGGACCAGACACACGCAAACTGGGTTGTTTCACTGTCCTTCTCAAATGTAGATGCAGTATGTCTTTCATTACAGATAAAGGCTTATCTCTGCTACCTGCCTTCTTCAGCCATTAGGTCATCTTTTCAGTGAGAGACTGAATTAGCACCAACAGCTCTCCTAAGGATGAGGAAGTTCTGTCCAGTGCAGGCAAAGAGAGAAGAAAGGTTATGGTCCAAAAAGTGACAGCAGACAGGATGCACAGATCCTAAATTTTCATGGTGTGGTTTGGCTTTACCATGCTTGGGATTTCCTGAAACCATGACGAGCCATTAGCTTTTTAAGAGTCTTTTTGAACCCTCTCGGCCTCCATAATTTTTTTTTTGTTTGTTTGTTTTTGTTCTACAGTGGGCACATAGCAAGGGATCCCCATTTTAAACACAACGGAATAGAGATACTGCAGTGCTCTTGCCTGCTCTTCTGTGGTCACAGAATTGCCTTTTTTGAGGGTTGTGGTTTCATCATGAGGATGTGAGAATGCATCTGTTTAGGCTACCACCTGCAGCTTGTGGTTTTATTTATAGCAGGTACTGCATTATCAAGAAATAGTGACAATTAGAAAAAAGCCCCAACCCTCCCCAAACCATCCAAGATACATAAAAGTGCTATTTTTTTCACATTAGTTAGTCTCATATTTATAGAATGCTTTTATGTGTCTTTATACCTATGACAAAAGGAGGAGGTGGCCTGGAGCTTTCCTCTTGCCTTGCTTTTAAGCAGTTCTCAGTGTCATCCACTTCCGCAAGGTGTGTTTTACTCCTGTAGCTTTGTGTTTTACATGAGAGGTGTTGCTCTTCTGCTCCCATGTCAGCATAGCTCCACCCAAAGCATGTTGCAGCTGTAATTCAGAAGTTACAAGCTCATTCACCTTGAGAGTGGTTTTCCAACTCTTCACCAGCATTCTCGATCTTGTTTACTTTCTGCTGCTGCCATCACCCCGCACGTGTTGTGCTGTATTTGTCTTCGCTGGGGCAGCCCTTGCTGTCAGAGGTGCTCTGCGGTGGCAGCCTAAGGACCAGCCATGCTTCACTGCAGTGGTCGCTCTCACTAAGGCAGGGGAAGTTTCTTAGATGTCAGACCAAATAGATGACAAAAAAAATCCTTGTTACAGGGTTACGGGTGCTTTTACTTCACACAGGTTCATAGAGGATCATTTCTGACATGAGAAACAGGCAGCAATGTGACAAAGGCCAGACCTATCCCACAGGCTGCAGCGTCTGCCTTGTCTCCCTACAGTTGCTGCAGCTGTTTGTATGGCAGGACTGACTGGTCTGGCCACATCTGCCCTGTGAGGTGGACTTCCTTAAAATTAAGAATTAATGCTGTGATGCAAGAGACGGACTTTACTGTACATCTGGTTTTGTTTAGTTGCAACTGCAAATCTGCGTACAACTAAACCAACTCCACATGTAGCTGATTCATACATTTCAGGTAACAGTAGGACCTGTGCTGTCTTGTAATACGCTGTCAACTTTCAGAGGAAGCCTGCCACTTTTGAACTGCTATAAGAATTGAGATACTCCTACTTCTCTTTCTGGGTTATCCTACATACATACTGATTTGGTGAAGCTCTTTTCTAAGCAACTCTTTGGGCGACTGGTAGGTATGTGAAACTGATAACCCATATGACAAACTTTAAACTGCTGGTTTGGTGATGTTCATGAAAACATCTGACTCTTTTGTGGCTTAGCACTTGCTATCCAGCAATTTT